GTATTAAAGTTTATATTTCTGTCTTCCACACGGACACCAGCTTCTCTGGGGCAGTTATATGTTAGTTCTTCTGTAACCGCAGCGCTGAGCAAAGTGCCTGACACCTGACATTTATTGTCCTGTGCTGGAGAAGTTTAGATTCGGAAAGGATCTTGGGGGAGTCTAGTCTAGTCGTTCTCAAATGCCTGACCATGGGTCTGATGGATCAGAGTCACCTGGAAGTGTATATTAAAATTCTCCAGGCAAATTTGTAGAGACAAAGTAGGTTAGTGGTTACCTGTGGCTGGGACAGGGGGGTGGTGTGGTATGGGGAGGGATTGCTGATAGGCACAGGGTTTATTTTTGGGATGATGAAAGTGTTTTCAGATTATAGTGATGGTTGTACACTTTAAATGAGTAACTTTATGGTATGTAAATTATATCTCAATAAAGCTGTTTAGTAAAAATACGAAATCTGGAACCCCACCCTGACTACTGAATCAAAATCTCCCATGGTAGGGCCTGGGAATCTGCTTTTTTAATCAGACGGGCTGTGTTTAAAAGCAAAGGCAGGATTGGGAGCCACAGGCCCACCTTTCACACTGCCCAGCATCTCTCCTAGCGTCCCTGAGCGGCAGTGGCCTTTCCAGAGCTGAATACTTGCAGCTGGTGTGCTCTTTCGCACCTTGAGCTGAAGTTGACTTTTGCATGACTCCTACCCCATGTTCTCAGTCTGCCTCCAGGCAGCAGTGCAGAACACATCTCTCCCCGTCTACATGTCAGCCCTTCCCTGTTAGAAAACAGCCCTTGTTTCTCCCACCACTAGGACTGTGTTTACTATAGCGTTTTGTTGACCATGTGCCTGGTTTTCCCCCCACCCCCACCCCGAGTCGGCTATGTCTTGAGTTGACTGTTCCAGGTCAGTTTTTCCAGGTTCACAGTTGGCTCTTGCAATATGTGGGGTCAGATCTTTTATTTTGGGGGTGTGTCTTGGGTCGTGGTGTTAAATATCAGTTCTGTTTATTTTTCTTTTTCAGGGATTTCAGTTATGTGTATGCTGGATTTTCTTTGCCTGTCTTCTGTGCCTACCACTGGTGTTTTAACCTTTCTGCGTTTCCTTTTCTTTCTCTTTCTGGCTCCTTTCTCTCTTCAACAACGCTTTTCAGACTTCCAGTCTCAACCTTCCCGCTTGGCCTCTTCGTAATTGATTCTCCGTTTCTAAGATGATCTTTTTCTTTGATTTCTTTCCTTGTTCCATCCACTCTCGTTTATATTTTCCTGCTTTTTCCTCCACTCCTGCTGTGAGTGTTGAATTTCTGCTTGGTGGTGGTCTTTTCCACCTGCCATTTGTTCAAGATGCCTTTGCTCATTGTGGAGCGTGTTACTGTGCCCCTCCGCGTCACGATGGCGTGGGGGAACAATAGCACTTTCATCAGCCGTCAAGTTTCCATTATTGCAGTCTGAGTCCTTGTAGTAGTTTTGTACAACTGTCAGCCGCCTTTTACTGTTCATTTTAAAGCCTGTTGGATTTTCCTAGCCTGGCAGTAACAGGCAGCTCTGTGGAGGGGCTGGGGGCCTGTTCCGTTTCTTAGGTGACAACAATGAAGTGTCATTTTTTTCATCGCTGATGCCTTTATGAGGCATGGGTGCTCAGCGTGGCCTCTGATCTGTGTAAACTCTTGTTTCTGAAGGGCTGTAAACTTCTGGCCCCTGCTTCCTTCACCCAAACCTCCAGGGCATACCTCTTGCTCCCCAGAAACAACTCCTTCCCAAGAGTGCTGCCTTCGGCCCCACGTACTTCCGGCCTCTGCCTTCCGGTCCCACCACCAGCTGTTGGCCCCCAGGTCCTAGGCCCTTCTCGGTGTCGCCCACGCAGGGCGAGGTCCTCTTCCTCCAGGAGCAAACCCTACATGCTTGTATCAGGTGCTGGGCCCCTCCTTGCCCCGTCCCCACCTGCCTTCTGCCCAGTGTGGCATCTGGAGCTGGCCTACTGATGTGGCTGTTTCGTCCCCTTCTCTGTGTACACAGACGTGTGCACGGCACTCCTCTTCCACCTGTGCCGTGGGCCTGGATGGTGGGGCTTCAGTTTCTTCTCCTTGGTTATCCCTCTGGTCCCTGGAGGTTGTGTGGAGAGAGGCCACCGCTGTCCTCAGAGTTCAGTCTCTGAGCTTCACACAGGTCCCTGCTGAAAGCCGTCCTGTTGTTTGGGGCCTAGCAGTCCAGTTGGCTGGTTCACTGTGAGTCTGTTGTCTGTTGGATCAGACACTCCTCAGTTTGGGTCATTGGCAGATTTGGTATGTTTCCTAGTGAGTCGCTGAGAAAAATGTCAAAGGCAGGGCCTGCCCTCCATGCTAATGCAATCATTGGTTCTCGGGTACATTTAGTATTGATCCAGCTTCCAGTGAGGAGCAGAAGTTGTCCTTTTGAAAGCTGTCACCCAGAGTTGTAGGACTTTGAGTGAAAACAGAAATCCAGGGTGGCAGAGGTCTGGGCAGTGTGCCTATGGGGACGGCCCTACACTCCCACGGGGTGGCTCTTGTGGGAAGGCGGCCATTTCCCACCGCTGCACTCTGAGCAGACCCTGAGTTTCAGTGTTGGAATAAAGTGTTGGGGGCCACCCTCCCCACACGTCGGGTGGGGGCCTTTCAGCCTGAAGAGCAGCCTCTTGGCCGGAGCAGCTCTCTGGCTGCCTTAGCCAGTTCTGAAGCCCCTGACCACTGGGCCCCTAGCCTCCAGGCCCCACTTCGAGACCCACTAGTCTCGCCTGTGTCTGATCTTTGACCTCTGCCCCTCCCCCCAGCTTGCACAAGGTCTTTGGATTTCCATCTGACACCCCCCCACTCTGCCCAGGGCCACCGGCCTGGCACCCTCCCTTCTTCCTCTCCCCCCATTGCAACCTCAGATTCTTTTTTTTAGACTCTTTCTTTTTGAACCTCTGTTCTCATTCAGATTTCTAGCTCTGAGATCATGCCTGCCCCTCTGAGTTATTTGAAGTCCCTTTTTATAAAGCCAGTGTTTCCTTCCATGCTGCTACAAACTTTAAGAAGACTCAGCTTTTTTTCCCCCATGGTCTCGTCAAAAATAGAAACAATGCCTGCTCTCCACACTGCACTTTATGAAAGTGCCTCCTTACACTTGGTCTTATTTGAGCCTCCAAGTAACCTGGTGAGGTAGGGCAGGGCAGGGTAGTTAGGGAAGGGTGGAGTAGGGCATGTGGGAAGGGTAGAGTAGGGCAGGGCAGGGTAGTTAGGGAAAGGTAGAGTAAGGAAGGGCAGGGTAGGGTAAGGAAGGGTAGTTAGGGAAAGGTGGAGTAGGGCATGTGGGAAGGGCAGGGTAGGGAAGAGCAGGGCAGGGTAGTTAGGGAAGGGTGGAGTAGGGAAGGGTACGGAAGGGTAGTTAGGGAAGAGTGGAATAGGGTAGGGTAGGAAGGGTAAGGAAGGGTAGTTAGGAAAGAGTGGAGTAGGGAAGGGTAAGGAAGGGTAGTTAGGGAAGAGTGGAATAAAGTAGGGTAGGAAGGGTAAGGAAGGGTAGTTAGG